AATAAGCAAGATAAGACGTGTTTTGCGGTCAGGGGAAATTACAGAGATGCTCGTAGCTGATTCTCATATTTAATATCACATACAGATGCGGCGGTCTCCTGTAGATGTTATGATACCGAGTAAAAAAATGAACACAATACCTGCAGACTTTACAGCGCTGGAAGGAATACAGTCGGTGAATATATGTCTGTGTCGGAAGCGGTCACGGCATCAGTAATACAACATTTAATTTTAAACAACACTGATTGTATCCTCTCCCCTCGCTATCTGTTTTACCTCAGAGTGCAATATGAGCATTGATTTTATGACAGTGTAAAGAATGAAGTAGTTAAACCCAGTCGTGACTCGATGTAGGGCATCCTGACCACATCTTTGTGTTTTTAAAGGATTTCAGCCATTTTCTAGGTTTTCTAGCTCATGTAATCCTGGACGTTCATCACTTCCTGTTCATCAGCTGTCTTCAGTAAAAAACAAACAAACTACATGTCAGATTCTTTTTAAAATGAGATTATTTGGGTGGTTAATTAATGTATAATCGCCAATATTTTATTCAGAATGTGTATCACGTGTCTTTCGAAGGGTTTTGAAAAAGAGAAAAATATTATTTGTAGATCAAGGCCAACATGCTAACATGCTAACGTTTAGTATGTAATGTAACCATGTTCCGTGTTTCAGTTTAACGTGTTAGCATGCTAACATTTGCAAATTAGCACCATGTGTTAAGCACAGGGCTGCAGGCGTCTCAGTGGTTAGCACTGTCGCCTCACAGCCAGAAGGTCTCCGGTTGGCGTCCCGGTGAGGACACCCGGGATCTTTCTGCGTGGAGTCTCCATGTTCTCCCCGTGCAGCGTGGGTTCTCTCCGGGTTCTCCGGCTTCCTCCCACAGTCCAGAAACATGCTGAGGTTAATTGGTGATTGTAAATTGTCCGTAGGTGTGAATGTGAGTGTGCTTGGTTGTCTGTCTCTAAGTGTAGCCCTGTGATAGACTGGTTACCTGTCCAGGTGAACCTGCCTTCACCCTGAGTCAGCTGGGATAGGCTCCGCCCCCCATGACCCTGGTGAGGGTTAAGGTGTAGAGATGATGGATGGATGTTAGCATGCTAACATTTGCAAATTAGCACCATATGCTAAGCACAGTTGAAAAAGTTTAGGATTGCTTTTAATTTTGCAACAAAACAAAGGTTTGATCTGACTGTGATGCTAAATGGTCGCTAAAGTCATCAGGGTGGGTTAACCCTGAAAAAAAAAAAAAAATTAAATTAAATGCATCCATCCATTAGGTGACACCTGCTCCAGTGAAAATCAAGTTGCTTTTTTAATCCTGTCCATGTGGTGTGTTTTATATGCTGCAAAATACATCATTAGTGAAATAAACAACTAGCATCATGGCTGAACATTCCCACCTCATGAAAACATGAATTCAGACTTCCAGGGTTTTATATGTAGCAGAGGGCCTGCAGGGTGGTGCTTTGTGTATCGTTACTCCTCTTTGGCATCAGTTTGTGGCTCAGACGTGTCTGGCTGAATTTTAGCGGTGGCATTAGCATAGCATAGAGTAGCTTCACAGTGTTTGAGCAGAGGCAGGGGTGAGCTGGTGTGCTCAAGCTGTGGGTGACTGGAGAGAGAGGTGTTGAGTCATATGTAGGGCAGGTAATCATGGAAAAACCCTAAATATCTAACTGTGATACACGGAGGAGTTTTTAGGGGTTTAATGAATGACTGGAGACGACTTTAACTGGACTTTAGGTGAAAACGTTCTGAAGCTGAAGACAAATCAGCTGATCAGCAACATCAGGAGGATTAATCCTTTTGGGAATGTAGTCCATCTAGTAGCTGTTCAGACATTTATGTCAGACCCACCGACACACGCTGTCAGCAAAACAACAAACAGTCAGACGTTAATGATTAAAATGTGCAGTTAGATGACGGCCGCTGTCCGGTTACGCTCCGGCGCTACCACACTGGTGTCTGGCATTACAAAACACTGCACAACAACAATCAGCATATTCCTGTTCTCCCTCCTGTTTTCAGTTTCCTTCTCCTTCTGCATCACGCTGTCGCACCATAAAGCCTCCTCAGCGTCACATCTTGAGTTTCTGAGCGCAGTAACCGAAACCCTTCTGAATGTCAGATGCAGCTTTATTATTTTTTCTGTATGACTTCACACTGGGTGGAACATCAGAGCGCAAACTCCACAGAGTTAAATTTGGCATGCTTCGTCCTAAATGGCCCTTAGCCCCCGCAGCGCAAAGTTCACATCCCAAGCTGGTCCGAGCCAGACTGGTTGACACTGAACTGCCCTCTCTGGTTCTACCGGGGATTTTCAGAAATGTTTACTTGGAAAGTTCACGACCCTGCAGATCAACCGCAGTGTCATCGTTTGTAATGAAACATACAGGAAATTAGAGGTAGATACGTTTCCTGTCGATGACATTTTTCACATGAGAGAAGCAGAGAGATGGAACTAAACTAAGACAACACAGCAGTGAACTTATCACCTCTGAAAACATCCACAGACGGGCTGAGCTCCTCTCTTCACCGATCAGAACCTCCACATGCGTGCGAGAACTTAAGAGCCTCGCAGGAGAAAGCTTTGGAGATGATCGGCTGCATTAGACAGAAGACTGACGCGGCGACTTCTCCCCAGCCAGTTTGTAAAACATTTACCCTTGTGCTTATCTGACATGGCAAATATCATCCATGTTCTTTCAGTGTCAGCCAAGATCCCTCAAGCTGACAGCCGGCTCCGTGGACTACAGGGACTCTCAGTCATCATGAATATTACATCGGGCCTGTTTACATGCCTGCACACGGACGTCAGTGAGGCAGCTTTAAAACACATAGCAACCGCTGATCAGAAGTCATTAAGTGAGTGTTTCCTCGTTTCCAGCCTTTCTGCACATCCAGCCTATTAGTCACTTATGAATAATCACCAGGTCGCGTATGTAGACGAGGAGGCCGTGCGAGACAGAACGGGTCAAGAGGCTATCGGCCGTGAAGGAAAAGCAACGACACAAGCCGCGCCGCCGCTTGTCATATTTACATGAAACATTAGAAGAAAAGCCTGAGAGTGCTGCTGGGGAGCGGAAGCAGGGCGGAGGGGAGGAAGGTGGGTGGGTGGTGCTGGTGGTATGCTGCTTGGTTTGACTGTGGTGTGGAGGAGGAAGGAGTGGAGGTGGAGGAGGAGGAGGAGGGGGCCCACAGCTGCAGGCCAACAGTTGATCCTGTCCCGGGAAACAGGATCAGCCGGGTCAGGGCGAGGGAGGTGGGGCGGGAGGTCACGACCCGGGGGTGAAGGAAAAAGACTTCACAAAGAGGTACATCTTCAAACGAGCAGGCCCCGCTGGGGGAACCGGCGTAAGGTTGGGAAAATAAACCGGTCTGACCTCCTTTCTGGGCGCAGGAGGTTCCCCAGGTGTTAGCTTTAACCTCTTTATTGTTGTCTGACTGGAGGCGCTGCTCCTCGTCAGTTCTACGCTCATCCAGCCACGGCAGCCTCCAGCCAAAGGATCCCGACTCGCAGCTCCAGGACGAGCGCTCGGTGGTTCAGCGTTTCGATTCTGCCTTTATGACGCTCCAAATGGGCCAACCCGTAAAATGCTAATTAAAGTGTGTGTGTGTGTGTTTACATAACATTCGAGGTCAAAGCGTGTGCTCGGGGTTCAAACAGCTCTATGAGAAGTGGGTGATGAAACATCTGTGAACATATTTATCACACCGGTCGCCATGACAACCAGTGACAAGCGTGAGCTCTGCATGGCCTCCATGTGAATAAACAAAGCGGCCGACGAGAAGGCATCTCATTAAGGCTGAGATCGGCAGATCACGAGCAAAGAGCAGCCCGCGCGTTCCCATATAGATAAACTCTTGGCCGAGCGAGTTAAGTGCCGTCATTAAGTTGTTTGTCAGAGAATAAGCATGCGTAATGCCAGGAAATAGTTTTTGGAGGCCTCATAACTGTGAAATGTCTGTTGTGGGACTGGTGAGTCCTTGGCCTGCAGTTGAGTCACTGGTGGCCTGGTGTGCAGCGCTCACATCCGTTTGGCCTCACGCTGGGGTCAGGAAATCAAAGAGAGGAGCCACAGACAAACAGCCGATTGTCAAGTTTTACACCTTGACCTCAGCTTAAACTCGCGCCTCACTCCTTTATGTTTGCCGCCGCTTCAGCAATCGGAGGAAATCGAGAGGTTAGCGGCGGTTCAGCCTTGATAAGAATCTTGAAATGGAGAAGTTCACGGAGGGGAAAGGTTAGCGGGAGTTTAAAGAGAGTGCAGTCAGTCATGGGGAGGATTAAATAAAAGGGAAGTCAGGGCTGAGGAACTGTGCTGCAATTTCAAAAGTGCACTGCAGACAAAAAGCCGTCTGTTCGCTCGCTGGACTTCATATTCAAACCCAGTGCAAAGGAAGTTTAGCTTGAACTCGTCTTCACCTTTCAGCGAGTCTCACGCTACAGGCTGCTTCCTCTCCGGTTCGCAAAATCACTGCTAAATTGACAAACTTCCAGATCGAACACAAGAATCAAGGTTTTGTGTTTACCGTACAATGACACCTATTATGTAGATGTGAGCTCCACTCGGTGCATCCTCGGGCCTTCGCTGTACATCTGCTGACCTTGGAGCGTCCTCCCTCCTCTCCCAGTCTTTCCTGCCTTTCTTTCCTGCACTGTGGCCAACGGCAGCCAACTCAGAAGCACCAGTTTTGGGGCAAATACAGGACATCCTCTCGCTCTCCTTTAATAGACCGAGCTTTGATTACAGAGAGTGCTGTTTGGCTTTGATGTCCGGTTTTAATAATAATATTCTTTAATGTGAGGCCTGATATCGGGGAGCAATGGTACCTCAATTTCCCTAATGGTTGCTTTGGTTTCATAAAACGTTCTGTAAAGTGACCACTCACATGGATTAGAGCCTTCAAGAAGATCCACTTGAGCACGTGTGGCGCTGGAAATATTTAAAACCCAGACTGGTGAATGGCAAAAAGAGGAACACATTCATACTAGGTCATGCATTTTAGTACTTTATTTTTGAGATATCAGTGCAAATGAACACCAAAAAATGAAAACATAAAAAAATGAAATAATGTTTCAGGTCTTCACATGAAAAAATGAAACATCTTGTTTTTTTTTTTTTTTTATATTTGCTGCTACAAATGTTTTTCTTAGATGCACAATGCAGATCTATGATTGTACGTCAATCCCCCACTAGAGCCCCGAGTTCTTCCACAGAGCTTTGTTAACCAGTAACAGAAAAGAAAATCACAAAAATATTCAATGCACGTTTATTTTTCACACATTTTTATCAACTTGCTCGACAGTCTGTGGTTATTTAGAGACTGCTCGTATTCTAAACCGACCTCTCTCTCTCTCTCTCTCTCTCTCTCTCTCTCTCTCTCGCTCTCTGTGATAAAAAAAAAGACCTATTTTAAGACTTGACATTTTCCCCCATCACCAGTAGGGATACACAGGTAGTTCCCATGCGTCTGCATGCAACAGGCAGCAGTGAGGAGAGTCAGACATTATTACACAACACAGCGCAGGATAGATTATCATTTACCACATAGAGACACATGCAAAGAACAAACCAACCGAAAAAAGATGGGCATAGCATCCTCTGCCTTTGTATGTACACTTGTACGCATATAATTCATATTTACATATCAGGGCATTAAAAACTAGGGTAATATCTTTTCTTAAACATTACAAAATAGTCATCTTTCATACTGAAAGTACTATTTACACAAATATATTTAACCATTGTGAAAATGTATTAATAATCGAAGAGACGTACTTCATAGGTATATGTATTAAAAAGATCACAAGACTAGATGGATAAAGCAGTGTGTGAAATCAACCGAAAAGAATACAGTACAATCAAAAAAGAAGGAGCTAGATACCAGATATCCCTCAAGACACCAACAGGTCTTGGTGATTGTTGGGGGGCAGGTACACATATCCAGCTGCTCTGAAAACAAAGATGTACCTGTGGTCTTCTCTTTATTATCATGCAATTCTTTTGACTTTTTATGAGTTAAGAGACTGCCACAAAAAAAATAAAAGATGTCCATAAACCACAACAGTTAGGAAATGAAGAAGAAAAAAAAATCACAAACTGTCAAATTCTCAACAGATAACAATACTGACATTTTTTTATTACATGCCATTAAATTATTCTGAAAAGGACACCAACATCTCAGCTTCGATAGTGCAAACTCTGGGCCCTCGCTTTGTTTTTTTTGTTTTTTTAAAATCCTTTTCACACTCAAAGGTTTTGTGTGCATGAAGAACGGTGGAGTGGGTTTACCCAGGATGGTAGAGATAAGTTTCTGAGGCGCTGCAGCCTTTTAGCTGTTGCTCCAGAAACCTGTTTACACTCAACTGTAAGCACCGCACGCGCTCTGTTGACCCATCTGCTTAAAACTGCACAATCTGCAAACACATCACCCTGAATTTGCACTGTCGAATATTGGCCTTAAACGTTCAATTCAAATAAAAGCAAAACACAATGAGTTGTGACCATTCGAACCTCCAGTGATAGATTCTTTCTCCGTCGGTAATTATGCCACACCGTGAATCTCGAGGAAAAAAGCAAGACAAAGCATTCATCATGGTAGGATCCTCACTGAAGCTACTGCAGTGTGAATGTTGTTTTCAAGGTCCTCCTTTGAATGAATTCATCATGTACATTGTTGTAATAGACCGCTGTGACTGCCCCAGAATGACTTTATTTGGAATCTTATCTAAAATTGATGGGACTCTGTCTATGGAGAAAATAAATAAATGTCCACTGAACTGAGCACTAACATTTTTGGAGTCATCAATAATAAATGTTGCTTGAAATGTTCTTTCTAAATGTTTTATGGTGGGCAACAAAGAGGACATGGAATCGTGATATGTGTACAATTCAGATACAAATAGTAAAACAAGAGCGAATTGTAGAGGAGGAGGACCCCCTAATTAACAAAGTGAAATATGCAGGGCATGATGGGAAAGGTTACGTGTGTGTGTGTGTGTGTGTGTGTGTGTGTGTGTGTGTGTGTGTGTGACAGTTGCACAGTTTTGGTTGAATCAATTCATCGTGTTGCTCAGACAGACCTGTTTTTGAACCATTCCATGACCTCACTATGTAAAATTGAGAAAGCAATGCAAATGTGCATTTGAACTTGAACTTGCTCTATTCCACTAAAAATCTTTTTGCATTCTTTGTTATTTGTCTCATCAAACCAATTTGGCAAGTCATTAAAAATGAAAAAAAAAAGAAAAGAGAGAAAAACAAAACAATAGAAAGAGTCAATGGATTTGCTTCAGCTTTGTATGTTTCTGTAGTTGATACAACTTCTAGTCAGACGACTGGCTCAGCCCCTGGCTCTCGTGGCTGTGCTTGTCGTTGTGGGTCGGCGACTGAGGGGTGGAGCTCAGACTGCGTTCATAGGCATGCATGTCACTGATTGGCTCTTCTTTAACTCTGACCACAGCCTGGGCTCCCTCGGCCTGCTCCCTCACCTCCCTCCTCAGCTGAATGCTGCCCTTCTGCAGCATGTAATACAGGATGGGGTTGGAACGTGAGAGTCGCGGAGAGTCTGGGTTTGAGTCACACCCCTCCTCCTCGTCCTCTTCGTTTTCCTGACTACTCCACCGCACAGGGCTCTCAGGCTCCTGCTTGACTAGAGTAGGGGGGTCCCGTTTCTGAGCGACAGGCCACGGAGCTGGGTGGCGGCTCCAGGGGGTGCAGATAGGGCTGTCGCCTGCAGGGGGGGTGGGCAGTGGTCTGAGATTACTCGGAAGCCCTGAGTTGAGGGAACCATGGGGATGCCAGCTGGGCAGGTGGAGGAAGCTGTGATTATGGGCAGGCTGACTGAGAATGCTGCCATTGGCCTTGCCGTTGGCCTGCAGGACGGACGGACTGGGCGCCCCCCGGGGCTGCTGGGACAGCTCCTTCAGGCAGTTGTCAGAGAGCAGCAGCTGCTTTAGCACGTTGAAGCCGCGGCTCTCTCTGGTGAGGCCTTCGCCTGGTGGGCTCCTCGGTGGAGCCTCTTCTTCCTTCAGACTCCTCTGCTGGTCAGACTCGAGCTGAACAGCAGAAGAGGCAAAAATGTTTGTGTCACCGCGTTCCACGACTCTTTGAGAGCTGATATTATTAAAACTATCTGTCTGATCAGAGCACAGGCGTCTTTTCTTAGGACTGGGGCTCGGATACTCCCGCTGTTCCTCTTTAACCTGTCTGGGCTGGGACTCAGCCTGCATAGCAGCACTGGTATAGTAGGTAGCAGTCTGTTGCTTAAGCAGCTGGCTTAGGAGGCCGTATTTTGCTATGACCTCTGCAGGCCGTGGTTCTGTTTTTAAGTCCTGCTGAGAATCGGAGAGGGGGCTATTTTTCTCATAGCCACTCAGTCTCTTTCTGCCACTCAAATCCTCAGACACGGCAGAGGATGGTCCTACCTCTTCTGTGAGCTCCGATTTGACCTTTATATCCAAAGGGGGACCATTGGAGCTGTCACAGATGATGGAGGCACCGGGGCTTTTCTCATAGCATCCCCCTGCCACCTCTACACTCCTCCTGCCACTCCCACTGGGTCGATCCTTGCGGCTGACTGTAGCAGTAGCTGAACCTGTTCCCAGAAGGAGCTGCAGCACAGTGCGCCTCTCTAAGAGGTTCTCAATTTGTGACGAAGGAGGAGAAGCTTCCTTCCGACTGAAAGGTGTGCCACTGCCTGACGCTCCGTCGGAGAGCGGAGTGGTGGTGGTGGTCCTGTGGATCGGAGCGTTGAGCCTTTCCAAAAGGGCAAGGGGCCTGTTGGCATCCACCTCCTGGCCCAGCCCTTTGCCAGAGGGGATGGGTGGGGAGGACGAAGCTGTGCCACACTGAGCCAGATTCTGTAACAGTTTACTGGCACTGAAAGCAGGCTCTGAAGCTTTCTCAGCAGGGAAGGCTTTAGACTTACACAAATCCAATGGGCTGGACTGGACATGGGGGGAGGGATAGGAATATGGGGATAATGCGCCACTTGGGTCACGACTAGCAGGGTAGAGGGGCTGGGCCGGGGCTACTGGTCTGTCTACGGGGCTTTTTGTCCTGGTCTCTTCCCAAGGCACCAGTCCCTTCTGCTGGGTTCGAGACATGGTTGCCATAGTGATATCAAGCGGCAAATCTTGGTTCCCTACGCTTTTATTAACCATCTCGTTATTTCTGCGCTCAAGGAGGAGCTGCATGAGCGTGAGCTTAGGGTGGGACTTTAGGTCTGGGCTCATTTCAGGCTCCTTGTTCTTGGACACCTTTGATCCTGATGGCTCTGGCTTCCACTTGTTTATTAAGGATTCTGTTAGTTTGTCCAGGGAAGAGGTAGAGATAGAAGAGGAGGAGGATGAAGAAAGAGCAGTGGAGACACAGGAGACAGCAGTAGAGGATGGTGAAAAGGTTGTGGTGGATGGCTGAGCAGAAGCTTGAGGAGAGAATGCAACTGGGGTGGAGGAAAACACCGTGGTGGAGGAGGAGAAGGTGGAGGTGGAGGAGGGGGTTGTAGTTTTGGGCCCTGTGTCTTGTATGTTGACACGGCTTCTCATGGAGAGGTCAATAGGAGAGCAACTAGAGTAGGAACTCTCTGCATCGCTACTGTCCTTGGTCAGGCTCCTCTCCTGTGTGGAGCATTCACTGTCTGATGTGACGGAGGAGGAGCCGCTGGGCGGCAAGATGCCACAGCTGTCCTCTAGGTGTCCATTCTTGGTCAGCTGCTTCTGGTTGTTGTGGTTGTTCAGCAGCAGCAGAAGTAAGCTGCTGCATGTTTGGGGGGGCCGAGTTGGACGTGAGTCAAAGGCTCGCTTCTCTCTGGGCGGCTGGCTGTGAGTGTGGCTGGGAACACGAGGGGGAGTGGGCGGGGAGCTTTGGCTGTGGCCACGCAGCAAAGAGGGGCTCTGTGGACTGGACAGAGCCGTTCGAGGGAGTGTTGTTGTTATTGTGGTTGTTGTCGTCATTCCATTTTGGGTTGTTAAGGAGCTTAGTGTGTCGGCGGCTCCTGGTAGAGTCCCTCCCACACTCGGTGGCCTTTTGTCCTGGCCATGCTGCTGGTTTGCCATAGCAGCTAGTCTCTCGCTGGCAGATCTTCCTGAGAGCTGGGCTTTGAGTGCATGCTCTCTGGAGTACTGCTGGAGATGGGCTTCACTGGACAGCAGCAGGGCCAGTTGACTGCAGGCCACGCTGGGCTTGGGTGAAGGTGCGGGACTAGAACGAATTTTCACCATGTTGGCCACCGCCTTCAGACGCTCCGCACAGGACACGGACTCAGCAGTTGCAGGAGCGGCAGGAGGTGTAGCGCTGTGTGCTGACCGGGGAGATTCTGGGGGTCGGTCCTGACTGTGTCCCCGGCGACTGTAGGGGGTGTTGCTGTGATTTTGAAGTTTGCTCTTCCTCATCAGGCCCTTTAAGCGGCTTGAGGCTGTCCCATACACAGGAAGTGGCTCTTTGTCTGCAGGGGGTGCCTTGGATGGAGAGGAGCACTCGCTGGGGGGCTTATTAGAGTGCTGAGACATCGCCACGCTCTGAAGCCGTGAGCTGAATGACTGAAGCAGGGAAGCCAACAGGGTGCTCTCTCCAGCGTGAGGAGATCCCTCTAGTGCTCCATTTTGCAGGCCTCCCCCTTGGCCATTCAGCTCCATTGGGGGTGAACTCATCCGCTGGCTCCCCGGATCATTCCAGGCTCCGGAGCGAAGTAAGCGGGCCTTCTTCAGGTGCTGCGAAGAACCTAGTGTGGGCCCATTAGTTCCAGCCTTGGGAGCTGTGGGGCCATGGTTGGGCATTTGGAAGGACCCGCCCACCTTGTCACCCTGCTCCTGATTGCTGTGGGCACCCTCGGACCTCCCGCTCGCCGTGGCCCCAGGCCCGGCCACTACTGGATGCATCAGTAAACCTTCCAGATAAGTTAGAACAGCTGAATCCTTGTGTGTCTCAGGGCCAGGCTCCTCCCCATGAGTCATGTTCAATACTAGGATCCCCTCGTATGGCTCAGCACTGCTACTGGGAAATAAATGTCCACTAGGTCATCTGGCCAGCAGTGGCATGTACTTCCTAAATACCAAAAACAGGGCAGGCAATTGCACTGAGTGGGGAGGGGGAGGGCTGAAGGATGCGGTTGCTTGATGTAAACCCTCTGTATAGTGGGCACAGTCAGCAGTGTGGCCAAACAGCAACCATGGTTGGAGGCAATCTGGGGCAGGTGGGCCTCCCAGGCATTGTTGTATGCCTTTAAACACCGTAGGATCCCAGAAGGCCCGGCTCCAGGCTTATGCGAGTAGCAAGCGAGGAGTCAGCGGGATTTCACCACAAAGATGTTGACACATTCCGTGGCTGTGGATGTTTGGGATGTCTGTCCTAAGGCCTGGCTGTGGTTCTGTCAGTGGCGCCTCTCAGCTTTGCAGATCTCACATGGGGGACCTATGGGAGTGAGTGAGAGAGAGAAAAGAGGGAGAAAGGGATGTTTGGGCAGAGAGAGGAAAAAAAGGAGAAAAAGGAAAAACTGTGTGAGAAGCAGGGATTTGCACAGCACTATATCACATTCATTTCACCACCTTGTCTGCCATCTCTGTTACTTAGCAACATTTCAGATTGACTGCACACGGCTCCGTCTCCTCTCTGCACTCTCCCCTCACCGCCACCGAACAGACGACAAATGTAGATTAGGCCTGATTGGATCCAAATTGAAAATTCAAGCCCACTACCTTGAAAACATTCAGGTCTTGAGCAGTAAGCCCCTCACAGCGATGTCTTTCAAAAGTGAAGGGCCTTGTGAGAGCTGTGAATAATTCCTTATGCAGCTTGTCATTTCAGTGGATTATCCCACCCCACCACCTCCTGCTCCTTATGCACTCGAGCAGCATCTCACACGACGCAACCCTCGGTCTACATAAAGCAAGAGCCACCCACCCACTCACCCACATGCACACAAGTAAGCATTTAAGCATTCATGCCTCGACACAAGAGCGAATAAGTGCATGAAGACACACAGAGACACACGGACAGTCTCACTACATCATTATCTTCATTAACACCTGGCCAGCTGTAAATCCATCACAGAGCTTAGCTCCTTTGACCCCCGACTGTTTTTAAATCAGAGCAGAAGAGCAAAATATGAACTGACTTGATATGATGTGAGCGGTATTTACAGGTACAGTACAAAGGCTGCTGAGAATCAGAGCAAGGATGTAGCTAACAGACAAGCTGTACTCAGCTGTCAAGTGTGTGTGTGTGTGTGTGTGTGTGTATTATGGGGTGGGGGTGGCTTAAGGATCAGGTGCACCTGTCACACCACACCACTGTCAGGAGGGCAGAGCCAGTGACACGGGGGTGAGCATTGTGCCAGTTGCCATGACAGTGTCAGCAGTGCTGCCCTGGGAGACCTCTGCTCTGAACCCTGTCAGCGTGGTTTCCGTGGATACAGGACACCTCCGACAGTCCTGGCTGCATCCCATAAAGGTTAATTAATACAGAGTTTCCACCTCGCCTCAGCTGCTGTCCGTGTCCTTTCGCGATGCCGTCCTCACCTTTGGTGTCCGCTGAGTGGACCGACATAGCAGGTCACACGACAGGACAGCAGCCTCTGATTATGACGAAAGGCCATGGCAACCCACACAGTCACCAGCCTAAATACTTCACAGAGAGCAGTAGCAAGGGCCAAAAACAACAAGGCAGCAGGCTTCTAATCAGGCTGAAATCCATCCCCGTGGCCAAGGTCCACAGGTTGTCATGACAGTAAGGGCAACAAGGTGGCACTTTTAATGCCACCTTGGAAATGAGCTGGGATTAGAAGCTGGATTTAAGCTGATCAGTGTGCAATTAAGTCTGAGTAGCAGTAGGAAAACAATCAGCTTGGCAATTTTAAGACCTCTTCAAAGCAAAGGTCCACGGGTCGACGACACTCCTCAGACCGCGGGGCGCTGCGAGGGGCAGAATATCTTAGCTGAGATTGGCCCATCAGCGTCAATTACAATTCAAGGCCATCTTTAAGCTGTTGACCTAAATCTGACAACAACAAAAGCCAACCTGGTCACACTGGGCCATCTGACGTCTGTTGTCATGCTAATCTTAGATGCTCAGGATTAGGACTATTTTCCCGCCAGTGAGCTTAACGCAATTATAATGGAAAGGCCTGTAACGCCGCGTTTGATCGGCGCAGGAAACACATTTACCTTCGACGTAGCCTGGCATAACAACTAATGTGCTGCGATTCAGCCCCCCAGTAAGCGAGAGAAAAATGTAAATGGGAAAGAAACACTGACACAGTTTCAACACGGGGAATTCTGCTAATCTCTGCGCTGCTGGCAGTGAACCTTTGGAATTACAGTTGACCTTGTCTATGTTTTTGCCCAAAGACACTTCTATACAGAGCCGACAAGGCAGCACGGGGACACTATGACACTGCAATATATTAGTTTATAGACAACAGAGCCACTGCATTCGCTATCTCATATAAAGTATGAATTACTCTTTAAACAAAGTGAGGACCTTCAGGCCCTTGAGAGACATGTAATGACAGAGCCGGTGTCAAAAAGCCCTGCTACAGCAAGGGCAAGAAAAAATATGTTCTCCTCAGTGACAAAGCTCTGTTAACAAATAAATGACCTTAATATAGGGAAAGCTGTCCTCTATACTGAGCCCCTAAAGCATACAGGCCTCCTCCTCTCCTCTCTCACAACGTGTGATGTGTGCATTACTATTACATTATCTCCCCTGGTGTATACATTGAAAATGACCTTACACATCTGTTAACATGTCATCTCATTGGTGGTGGCACCCAAAAAGCCTGACCTCCACCCTCCTCCCCCACTGTGGGACACCACAGCACCAATGAGCTGCTCTACGGTTTCTGTGGTGATTATCCATTATCCTTGACAATGTCAGCCAATGACAGAGCAGGCACCATTCTAAAGTGATTTTTACCCCTACAGTCAGCCACGCACATGCGAGAGGGAGGGCAAGTGATGGGGAGGGGTGAGGCTTCATCATCCCCTGGCTGGTTGACTCTTCATCTATTTCTCTCTCTGTTTCACTCCTCTGGTACTTAAAAGACGGTGGGAACAGCAAAGGTCACTGCACTCTCAGACGCTTCCTCAGATGCACAGAAGTACCAGGAGGCCGGCAAAATGTGCCAATGCAGATCTCTCAGATTAGATTTATAAATGTGTGCTTCATTCCCTTCACTGACCTCCAGATTACACCTCCTCCTCCACCCCCCACCGACACACGTGCTGGTAATACGGGCTTTTTTTTTTTTTTATCTGACCAAAAAGTGAGTTTCTAAATGACCTTCATCGTCAGGAATGGTAATCCATTTAAGCCATTTAAAATGTATGAGACCAAACAAAAGAATTAAAAGGGGGAAGAGCCAAAGGAGTGGCAGTTAAAGTCAAGGTCACTCATGCCGCCAAGGCTTTTCCACTTGATGCAACAGCTGGTGTCCATGCAAAGCTCTGGGCGTTAATAAAAAGTGACAATGCTGCCTGAGCGGTGTGTATTACTAATGTCTGACACCAGCCTGGCAGATGTGTTCTCCCTGCATTTAAGGGGAGTCAAGGTTAAAGGAATTTAAAAGGAGAGGCGATGCCTAAACACTATTATATCATGTAATCTGCAGCCCAGCCCTGCTGCACATACTCAACAGGGTAGCTCACTTACACATGCGGCGTGACCGCTATTTGTAAATTCAATATGGCCTGACATGATTAAATAAGACAAAACATAAGCTACCTGACCAAATGCAGTTGTTCCAAGGCTTCCACAAGTGAATGAGTGCACCGGAGGAAAGTTGAATTAAAAGCTCTTGTTCACCTTGAGAAAGGTAAACAAGAGAATAACATGCTACCGAACAGCAGGAGAGCTGGAGCAAGAAAATGTTTTGCAGATAAGTCAATCAGGACGAAATAACACTGAAATGCAATACACAGAAGCATGCACGCCCACACAATGAGAACTAGGGCACTCTGACCCACTTCTTGGGATGCATTGACCAAACAAATCATGCATAGCACACACACACCCCCCATGTGTGCGCACACTGAAACCCATGGATGCACCCCGCATAAAGGAAACGTGATACATGAATACTGAAAAGTCAGACCTCTTGTGTTAAGTAGCACAGGCTATCCTGTGGGAAAAAGCATCCTACTCAGAGCACTTGACTGTGAGGGACAGTGTGAGATGGCTGCTAACAGTTCAGACTTCAGACAAAATGGGACCGGAGTGCTAAAGTTCTTGGCCTGCATCTGGCCTTGAATGAGGACGGTGGGGGCGGATTTTAACTTCATCTGTACTCATCAGTACAAAGAGTTCCTGGGGTTGAGGGAGAGAGAGGGAGAGCATAAAGGAATCCATGCACACTGATGAGTCATCTAAGTGTTTCAGAGCCCAGCTGAGTGGCAGAGGACCCAGCAGAACCAGCCAGAGCAGCGATGATATCACCGCACTGTACGACAGACCTGGACACGCTCTGCCTTCACCCTGCATGCCCGGGCTCGCATGGAGGTGCTTACCAAAATGTTTGTGTCCATAGTAAATATTTGTGTGCCATTTCAAAGACCCACCCAAGGGCCATTTCCTGAGTGGCTGGGAATTAGTGCATCAATTAAACACACACACACACATTCTTTGTTAATGAGCCGTGGCTGCCATCAATCTATACCTGATTCATTTCTATTGGGCTCCGAGGTAATCTTCTGCTTACATCGTCCGTCCAAAACGGCGCTCATTTCCCTCCCGAAACAACACACATTTTCCATTTGTAAACACTGGTGCTGGAAATAGGAACAGCTGATTGCCCCACGGCCAGCACGCCAAAAGGCAGAGCGCGGCCCTCGAAACAGACTGCAGTGGTGATGTCTGAGGGAAATGGGCCACTTTGCAATTGAGATCAAATGTCCCACTGTAAGGCTGCCCTGAAAGCTGGATAAAACCAGCTAAAAAACCTTGGCCTCTAATGAATCATTTCCATAATATCCTTGGCATCAGCCCTAAGACGGCTATTGCTGTGAGTCAGCAAGATGTCTGCCTTTATTGGGTTAAAAAGAGTGCTGCTTTTCTCTTTCTACTGTGAGTAATTTGGGATGGTTTGGAGTATTATAGTGCGTGACAGAGGTCTAAGTGACAGAAAAAGAAGAGGACATATCTCTGCTATCATTTTGCCTTTCATAAGGCTCCCATTGACCTACTTTCTAGTTTTTAAATCATCCTAATGCTTGCTCTGAGTGAGGCTGGAGAACGATATTACCGGGCACAATGGGTTGTGAAGGGACATTCCATTAGAATCATCAAAAACACAATTTCTGTTTTTTTTTTCCTCCCTTTACCTCGACAAGAATACAGTCCTGTTCAAAGTTACACAATTAAAGGAATCTTTTAAATCAATTAGACTCATTTAACCCAATAAAGTATAAAACAATTAT